CTAATCTTCAATTAAATCTACTAGGTTCAGATGCTTCATCCTTGTGCACAGGTTAAAGGGTTCATGGTAAAAAAAATAGCTCAGGTCAGGGTAATGCAGGGTAATAGTTCTTCAATGAGCATTACATTCTGAGTAATAACCTCCATGCTGTACATCTCTCTGTTAATCTCTGCTCAGCAAAAATCTATTGAAAACAAAAATCAATATTGTTCATCAAAAAAATCTTCACACACTGCAGTTCGGGGCCCATTCAAAATTAGGGTGGATTCAAGGATGAAGCCGAGCCTGAACAGCACACTCCAATGGCTTCCAGTCGAAGCTCGCATCATCTTCAAGACCCTGGTGCTTGCCTACGGAGCAGCAAGGGGACCTGCCCCTCCTTACCTTCAGGCTAAAAGCACTTGTCTTTTTCTACTAGCACTGACTTTGCTGATAAATTCTTTGCTGAGGGAAAATGTACTTGATTTGATTGTTGATTGTTGATTTGATTGTGATGTGTTGTTGTCTCACCTAGCTACACTATATACACAAAAGGTATGTGGACACCCCTTCAAATGAGTGGATTCGGCTATTTCAGCCACACCTGTTGCTGACAGGTGTATAAAATCACGCACCCAGCCATGCAATCGCCAGAGACAAACATTGGCAGTAGAATGGCCTTACTGAAGAGCTTAGTGACTTTCAAAGTGGCACCGTCACAGGATGCCACCTTTCCAACAAGTCAATTTCTGCCCTGTTAGAGCTGCCCCTGTCAACTGTAAGTGCTGTTATTGTGAAGTGGAAATGTCTAGGAGCAACAACGGCTCAGCCGCGAAGTGGTAGGCCACACAAGCTCACAGAACGGGACCACAGAGTGCTGAAACGCGTAGCGCGCTAAACATCATCTGTCCTTGGTTGCAACACTCACTACCAAGTTCCAAACTGCCTCTGGAAGCAACGTCAGCACAATAACTGTTTGTCAGGATCGTCATGAAATTGGTTTCCCTGGCCAAGCAGCCTGAGATCACCATGCGCAATGCCAAGTGTCGGCTGGAGTGGTGTAAAGTTCATGATTTTGGAATGAGATGTTCCCGAGTGGTGCAGTGGTCTAAGGCACTGCATCGCAGTGCTAGCTGTGCCACTAGAGATCCTGGTTCGAATCCAGGCTCTGTCGTAGCCGGCCGTGACTGGGAGACCCATGGGGCGGCGCACAATTGGCCCAGCGTCGTCCAGGGTAGGTGAGGGAATGGCCGGCAGGGATGTAGCTCAGTTGGTAGAGCATGGCGATTGCAACGCCAGGGTTGTGGGTTCGATTCCCACGGGGGGCCAGTATGAAAAATAAAATAAAATAATGTATGCACTCACTAAGTCACTCTGGATAAGAGCGTCTGCTAAATGACTATAATGTTTAAAATGTTTAAATGTTCGACGAGCAGGTGTCCACACACTTTTGTAGTGCATCTTAAGATGAATGCACTAATTGTAAATTGCTTTGGATAAGAGTGTCTGCTAAATGACTAATACCTACGATAGAAATGCCTACCCGGATCACATATCTGTGTAACCATACTATGTAGCTTCACATTTCATCTAATTTAGAACAGAGAACTTGAGAGAAAATCTGTGGCGAGAGGAGTCTCCACAGATCATGAAGCCTGGGGTTGAAGTGCCTTGCAGTGGCGAGCAGAGTGGATATGGAGGAGCAGGTAGGGGTAAGTGTGTGTGTGTGTGTGTGTGTGAGAGAGAGAGAGTGAGTGAGTGTGAGCGAGCGAGAGCATGAGTGTGATACATGCAGAGCTGACAGGCACACACAGTGCAGCTTGTTTCCACTCTCTCGGGGTCCTTTGGGTACGTGGCTGTTTCCTGCACCAACAGCCGCTCCGCGGGCGGGCTGACCAATCACCTAGCAACCTGTCGTCACTAGAGCCCGACCGATAAATCGGTTGACTGATATTATATGGAGTACATAGAATTGAACTTCATTCAGCCCGCGTAAGTCACGACGTGAGAGTGGGCATGGTGGTTTGACTGAGTAGCTTGCCACAGACAGCGACAGCGTATTTGAATCATTTAATAATCAAAAGTACACTTCACCAAGCAAGCAGCATCGTCCTCATCACATGCTCACTTAGTTCACGTTAGCTGGCTAGCTAGCCAGCAATATAGTTAGGCTTTATCTAGTCAGTAAGGTAGTTAGCCTAGCTAGCTAGCAAACTGTGCTAATTAGGTGCCAACACTGGACTGGCGCCAAAGTGAACTCAATCTTCATACAAAAATAACAGTTACTGTATGGGCCTATTATGTTAGTGGGCTTATTTAGTTTGTTTTCCAAAATCTGCAATCTGCAAAAGCAAGACAGTTGCCGTAGATCTATCATTCAGACCATGTGCTTGCATTCATGATGAGATACGTTTGCTAGTTATTAGCTAGCTAAATTAGAATGTGTGTGACAAGCATTTTCCTGCATGAACGTTCAGTCATCAGCACACGCCATTTGCAGTTAAAATATATATAGCTAGCCAATACATTTTATATCGATTAACAGTAATTTACATTATGGTTTTAGCGTGTGCTTGCCATAACAGGCATTCATTGCAGGGTTGCCATAAAGTGTTTATTTACATGACCTTTGACTGTTGTAAAGCACTGTAGTGAATCTACTCAATACAAATGCTGATGCTAACATCTAGTAGTGACATTACGAACCGCATGTTACTGCATTGTTTGAACTTGACAGTGCCGTTTCAGATTTACTTTGAGACCAAGTTTAATTCATTCAGCCCTTGTTTATTAGTGTGCTTGTAGTGCTTCAGCACAAACACTTCTGCATTCTTATAGAAAAATCTAAGTTGTACCTAAGAAGGTAAACTGAACAAGTGTTTTGTATTTAGAGGATATAATTGCTTTTTGGTGGTTATCATGTAAAGGACAAATAAAATGTTGTTAAATAATGTAATTGTTTTTTTTTAGTTAATAAATCATAATTTAGTGCATCTGTTAATCTTTGGAGCACAATTTGTATATATATTTTTTTTAACTGTTTTTCATTCCACCTCTAAAAAAAACAATATATCGGCAGCAGAGATGGAAATGTCGGTCAATTTTGCTGCCGACATCTGACCGTCATTAACCGGTCAACAAATGGTTAAAAAAAAAAATCCAAACAGTTAAATGACATCAAACAGTTAAATGACATGACCAACAGAAAATACTATCAGAGATCTGGGTATAATGACGAGATGCTTATGTTTCCGCCCTAACAATGGGAGTCGTCCCAAAGCGGGAAGGCAGGTGACGAGTTTAGGCCCAAAATAAGCCCATTGGACTTATTTTGGACAGATTTTGGCGAGTGAAACCTCTCGCTTCTTCCTCTCTGATACTATGCATGCCATACAAGGACCGGACATTTTTCATTAAGAGCTTAATGGAAACATGCAACAATAGCAAGCCTATCGTCTTACAGTCAAAAGGCTATAGCCTATTATTGAACATGCAACTCCTGTAATTTTCAAACGTTTACCAAAATGCAATTTGCGGAAAACACAGTTCTAAACAGCGCACCTAATGCGAGCAGTTCCATATGTGAAAAGATGAAATTCTCCATTAGAAACTTAGAAAGAGGGGGAATCTAATAGCAACTACTATGACGGTTGCTAAAATGACTAGCATTGTGCCTTTGGTTTCTGGACAACGAAAGATAGTTGATATGAAAACCAATAAAACAGGAGAGAAATGCTGGTTAATGGCATGAAGTCTTCATAAAATAATTGCCTCCACGTTTCTATGGATGGATTTTCGCAAAGCTACTTTGAAGCAAGGTAAGAAATGCCTCATTATTTGAAGTAAAATAAAACGTTCAGATTTCAAACAATTATACTGCCTCAAGCTCACATTGCAAAGTGGTGGTTGACGCACTGATAGTCTTTACGAGTTAAGAATGAGAACAAAAAAATTGCTCATTTTTAAATCATGGCAACCAAAGTTTTTAACACGCGATTGCATTTAGAATTGTCATTTGCTGCAGGTTTCACTACCGTAGCCTACAGGCTTTTTGAGGAGCTACTCTCGCGCTGTCTGACAGATGATAGGCTATTCCGCTCCTCAAACTAGGCTCTGTATGCTGTGCACGTGATAAATAAAATGCATGATGACTAACGAAAATACACACGGGCCAATTTAATTCCATAAAATTATGCAAATTAACCTATAGACCGATAAGCATGAACGTCAAATGTATTTTCGGCAGCTAACCGATTAACATCCCTAATCGGCAGATATATCTTAATCAGTTCCTTTTGCCTAGCTAAAATCGGTATTGGACCCAAAAATCCCATATCGGTTGGCCTCTAGTTTCACCCTGGATTCAGTGACATCATAGCACTGCAGCAATGTTCAGTGACCCACATAATGGATGAGGGGTTCACAACATATCCCTTTTCTGTACTGCACACCCTATCCATGGGATATGCATAGATAGGTTTCTACCATTTTACCCAAAGGTAGAACTAATGGTATCTGGACTATTCTCAGTACTGTGAGTCTCAGAGGGTAAGGTCATTATCCATTGAAGGGAAAGTCAAGGGTTTTTTTTTTTTTTTTTTTGTCCTTAGCAGACGCTCTTATCCAGAGCGAACTTACATGAGCAAATTAGGGTTAAGTGCCTTGCTCAAGGGCACATAGACAGATTTTTCACCTAGTCGCTCGGGGATTAAACCAGCGACCTTTCGGTACTGGCACATTAAAACGTTTCAAAACAAAACAGACGTATCTCATGAAAAGCACAGCATCTCGGGATCTGACTTGAGTGTTTTGAGGAACGGGTCCCCTGAAAATAGCCCCCCAAAAACCTCACTATCATCCCTCTCCGCCAAGCCAAAGGCAAGCTCGGCATGGACACTGGCTACGCCTGACCTGACAAATGAGGCTGAACAGCCGTTCAAGAATGCACAATAAACCTACCCCCCACGACTTCTCACTGAGGCCCTGATTTTCCAAGGCCTCCATCACTACAGAATGGCACATCAGTTATTGAGGAGTGGAGATCCCCCTCTGCTGGTGACACTGAGTATCACACTGGATTTGCCCCCCAATGTGAGTGAGGGTGAAGGTAGGAGGGGTAGAGTGCTTACCTTGGGCAGGCTGGCCAGCGGGGTGGGGGAGAGGGTCAGCTCACTGTCTGGTTCAGGGGCTTGGATGTCTTCCTTACGCTTGACATCCAGGATCAGCTGGGCAAGGAAGTTCTGCTGGAAGCGAGTCCGTTTGCCCAGAGCACCTGCGTGAAGCGAAGACCTCATCCAATTACCATGTTATACATACACTTCCCTGACCAAAACTGTAGGCCTTCTAAACGGTCAAGCTGTTACTGTATGTTTAGACTGGTCCAAGCCTACTGTACCTACCTATCATGTTCATCTCTAGGCCAGAGAGTTCCTTGGCCCGTTGAAAGTGCTCCTTGGCTGGGTTGTACTCATAGTAGGTCAGAGACGTGTAGCCACACTCCAGGTGGAACTGGATGGACAGGTTCCGGAGGGTTCCCTCAGAGAACAGAGACTCACACTTCATTACTGCAGAGAAGATGAGGTAAAAGGATGAGAAGATGACATTCTATTTCAGATAAACATCGAATAATTTGCATTGATTTAATAAGCTATTATCAGTTAAGGGCAAAAAATAAACAAATAAAAAGTGTTTCACAACAAGTTTTCAAAACAACTTTCCCCAAATCGCATTTTAGCACCAAAAGACAGCGCATCTCATCTACTCCTAAAACAGAAGAAGTATGTTAATCACTGATGTCCCTTGAAGACCATCCAGTGATCAATAAGAGCTCAGTGCACCTGCATACCATTCCCATGAGGCCATTGGTCGGCAACACTGTGAGCGAGAGAGACCTTGAGGAGACACATTAAAGAGACAAACGGACAGCGGAGAAGAGAAAAGGTGTTTTGGCTTCGTCCTTCGCTCTCCCGTTCCCCGTCTGATATGATTATCAGTTTAGTCTCGTTCAAGGCCGTGCGCGGTGTGGAGATTATCCCTGGCTCCTAATGTGTATAATTCATGATGCGACGTACCCTCGCGTTCCCCCATTCAACATTTATGAGGCAGCCCGGGCCCATGCCTGAGAGATTTACTCTGTGCCTTGTGTGTCACCTTCACCGCAGCGATTTCACACCAGGAAATGAGCTTCCTGGGCTGTTGTGACATGTGCAACGGGAGGGGGCACTTTTGTAAGGATAAAATAACACCACAACAGCCGTGCTGGGTTAGAGCTGCTACACCTTGACGGGACGGTAGTTAAGACGATGACTCAAAGGAACAGAGGGGCTGGGGATGAAAGAAAAGGTGTAAGTCCTTATCCAATTTCAAATTTGTCAACTCAAAACCAACAGCAATGAGATAAAGAGGAGAGAAAAATGGATTGTAAAAATCCCCCTTTCCATCTGCATGCCTTTCACACCCCAGAGCAGTAAAGGGGATTGTGTGATCTTTCACTGGCTGCACCTCTGGAATATGGATTGGCTGTTTGTTTCATAGCCTGTAGAGCCCCATCACCCTTCATACTCACCCGACAAACACACACAACCCCCCACAACAAAAATAAGTGAACCCACATTTAAAGCAGAGGTAAACTATGATTAAGCAGAACCATCTCAAACCGTGGTCTGCTACTACTGACCTAGTGGCAGGTCTATACAATAGGATAAACTAATGCTGGGCAAACAAGTGGACTTAATGAGCTCAAACCACCCTGAAAGGACGGGGAAGGTGAAAGAAAATGGGGTTTCAAGAGGGATCCCTTCAGTCTCATTCCCACTAGTTCTTCAATTTATATGCTGCCCTTCAGTTTTTGGCCCCGATGGAGACATGGATCACCCCAGAGAACACTGCTGCTCCAGCTGCTCTTTCCTCATCTGACTACGTTTTCTCTCATAAGCCAAGAGCATCTGGTCGTCGCAGTGGTGGCACAGGGCTACTCATTTCTCCTAACTGGAGATTATCTTTTCTCTCGCTCTCACCTGTCCATCTGCTCATTGAATTCCATGCCGTCAATGTCACTTGTCCACTCAAGCTTAACATTGTTGTCATCTATCGCCCAACAGGTGCCCTTGGAGAATTACTCAATGAGCTTGACACCTTGATACACTCGACTCATATCTCAGCTTGGATCCACTACCTCAAGCTCAACTTCGACAAGACGGAGCTGCTCTTCCTCACATGGAAGGCCTGCCCGCTCAAAGACCTCTCCATCACAGTTGACAACTCCACAATGTCGCCCTCCCAGTATGCAAAGAACTTTGGCGTGACTCTGGACAACACCCTATCATTCTCTGCAAACGTCAAAGCAGTGACTCGATCCTAAAGGTTCATGCTCTACAACATCCGTAGAGTATGACCCTACCTCACACAGGAAGCGGCGCAGGTCCTAATCCAGGCACTTGTTATCTCCCATCTGGACTACTGCCATCAAACACCTGCAACTTACCCAGAATGCTGCAGCCCGCCTGGTTTTCAACCTTCCCATGTTCTCCAATGTCACCCGCACACTCCACTGGCTTCCAGTCTAAGCTCGCCTCCACTACAAGACCATGGTGCTTGCCTACGGAGCAGCAAGAGGAACTGCCCCTTCCTTCCTTCAGGCTATGCTCAAACCCTACACCCCAACCTGAGGACTCTGTTCTGCCACCTCTGGTCTCTTGGCTCTCCTACCCCTAAGGGAGTGCAGCTCCCGCTCAGCCCAGTCTAAGCTCTTCTTGGTCCTGGCACCCCAATGGTGGAACCAGCTTTTCCCTGAAGCTAGGACAGCAGAGTCCCTGCCCAAAAGCACCTGAAACATTACCTCTTCAAGGAGTATCTTAAATAATCCCACTTCTCACCTCAACCCCCCAAATAAATAACTATCCCGAACCAACACTTGCAATTGATCCCACCCCACTCCCCCCCCCTTTCTAGCTCTGACTTTGCTGAGAACTACTTTGAGGAAAAGTGTACTTACTATGCCTGTGATATGTGGTTGTCCCACCTACACTACATTACCAAAAGTGTGTGGACACCTGCTCATCGAACATCTCATTCCAAAATCATAGGCATTAATATGGAGTTGGTCCCCCCTTTGCTCCTATAACAGCCTCCACTCTTCTGGGAAGGCATTCCACTAGATGTTGGAACATTGCTGCGGGGACTTGCTTCCATTCAGCCACAAGAGCATTAGTGAGGTCGGGAACTGATTTTGGGCGATTAGGCCTGGCTCGCAGTCGGCGTTCCAATTCATCCCAAAGGTGTTCAATGGGGTTGAGGTCAGGGAAAAATGAAGGCTATTCCATGCGAGAAATTGCCAAGAAACTGAAGATCTCGTACAACGGTGTGTACTACTCCTTGACAGAACAGCGCAAACTGGCGCTAACCAGAATAGAAAGAGGAGTGGGAGGCCCCGGTGCACAACTGAGCACTGTATCTTAGTCCATGTCGCTCTGTCATTGCTTGTCCATATATGTATATATTCTTAAATTCCATTCCTTACTAGATTTGTGTGTATTGGGTATATGCTGTGAAATTGTTAGATATTACTGCACTGTCGGAGCTAGAAGCAAAAGCATTTCGCTACACCCGCAATAACATCTGCTAAACACGTATGTGACAAATAACATTTGATTTGAACTATTTAGGGAAGAAGCAGTCAGCTGGTATTCTGTCTATAATGGAGTGGCCAGCAGTCACAGGATCTCAACCCTATTGAGCTGTTGTGGGAGCAGCTTGACCGTATGGTACGTTAGAAGAGCCCATCAAGCCAATCCAACTTGTGGGAGGTGCATCAGGAAGCATGGGGTGAAATCTCTTCAGATTACCTCAACAAATTGACAACTAGAATGCCAAAGGTCTGCAAGGCTGTAATTGCTGCAAATGGAAGATTCTTTGACGAAAGCAAAGTTTGAAGGACACAATTATTATTTATATTAAAAATCATTATTTCTAACCTTGTCAATGACTACATGTACTATTCATTTTGCTATATTTCCTATTCAAACTCATTTCATGTATGTTTTCATGGAAAATAAGGAAATTTCTAAGCGACCCCAAACTTTTGAACAGTAGGGTATATAGTGTAGCTATCTTAAGATGAATGCACTAACTGTAAGTCGCTCTGGATAAGAGCGTCTGCTAAATGACTAAAATGTCAAATGTAGGAAGAGGGGAAAACTCTGTTGTGCACACTGGCTAAACCAATTCATCAAAGACATACTCCACCATACATAAACAATAGGTAATATGTCATTTGTTTCACCAGTGAGTTGTTGCCCACCACTGCATTGAAAGTAAGTGTGAAGGACAGAGCAGTCAATAGACCCACCACAGAGGGCAAAAGGTAATAGCACAACAACCATTTCTTCACAGTTCACACAACCACAACATTGGGGGCTTTTGGCACTCAATCTGTCAACAGTGAGAGGTGCAAAGCGCAGGAGAACCACCACACACCTGTTTTTGAGTGTCAATGGCGTTAGGTGTCAGGTGTTTTAGTCATGCTCAATCAACCATCACCTGGGAGAACACAAGAGGACATGGACTTTTCGAAGATGCACTATGACCATTAGCGAACGTCTCAGTGAACAATCATTTATTTAAAGCAAAAATTCCTCCAAGTTACTATAATTCACAATATGGCAGTACATAATTCCATTTGTGAGAAGAAAACATACCAACACATAAGAGTGAAGGGAGCAAACATTGTGATAGATTGCTTTCAGAATCTGATAACCCCTTCTATATGTGAAAACCTCAGCAGAGCTGCTCACGGGCAAACATAACATTTCCCTAACATTAATGCAATATTTTTGGCAGCGGGGCTGGCGTTAGCAGCTCCCTCCTGGGTGCAGTGGCCCAGCAGCAGTGACAGGCTGGCCGCGGCGGCTGGCGACCTCTCAAACTGGAGCAGATTTCAACCTTAGCTGTGTGATGCATAGATCTGGCTGGGCACTGGAGGTGTCAGCGCAGCTGCTTGGGTATTTCACACAACCTCGGCCACTGTGTTCATCCGCTGTTTTCCTTCTGTCCTTGTTTCTGCCAGAACATTGAGCGCATATAGACAAGACAGTAGGACGGTGTGTTGTGTCAAACACGGAAAACAGACTTCTATGACGGTCAAACTGACAGGATGTATCCCAAAGTCAGAGTATCCCAATACTGTGCTACTCACTACAGGAGCCAGTGCTATATTCAGTACCAGTGACTCTTCACCTACACTAAGAGCAACTCTAGCTAGCCCACGCATACCCTTAGCACACCACTAATGATTATCGTATTAACTCCATGCGGGAGAGGTGGGGGCTTGCTGCAGTGTGCCAAACTAAAAAGACTTAGGTACCATTCTCCTCAATCCCCCTGCCCTAGGCTCTCTAGGGCTGCCTCCCATTGTTGAGGAAATTAAGGCTTTCACTGCATTGCTCAAAATAGCCATTGAGGCGGCGGGCTGCCTGGCACCAGTACCAATGTTTAGATCCCCCACTCCCACCAGCATGCCCTGGTTCCTCAGCCCACACAGAGCCCTCGGAGCAGACTGAGGCAGG